ATGGAAGAAGAAATGGCACGACTTGCCCCTCAATCAGGCTTGGGAGAAAATTTTCCACATGGTTCCAAGATACAACAAGCAGGCAATCATTGAAGAACTAAGAGGAGTCATAAAGCTGGTTTGGTGAACTGGATTGAGATGACAGATTCATAGGAAACATTCTATAGGCAGTGGGAGATACAGTCCCAATGTATTTAAGAGGGAACAGAATGGATAACTGATGTAAAAATTTAAGGCGTGGGAAAGAAGGCACTCAACAGTGAGTGAATGTGAAAATGAACAAGGGGCTAAGAACTTGGAATAAGAACTCCATTTAAAGACTCGGGAATGGGAAAGGAAAGAGGGAAAATGTCAGATCCATACAAGATGATGCTGGTAAGGGCAGCAGAAACAACAGCAGAAGGAAATTTCAAAAAGGAATATATGATCAAGATTTTCTCATACCATGGACAATGTTGTTTGTGTTCGGCCACAGGAAAACCATTGGTTATCCTTGAGGGTGCCTTGGTTACAATGTTAGTGTCATGAGAATGGTTGCAGAAGGGATAGGTCAAAGCTGTGAATGAGAAGATCATAGAAAATATAGAAATAGCCCACACTAATATTCCAACTGTAGAATCATCTATATGCAGAACATCACAAATCTCTTGAGGTCTGATTTCTATCTCTTGAGATTTTGATCGCTGCTATGATGAATTACCACAAATGTAAAACTACACAAATTTACTATTTCTTCATTCTGGAGGTCAGAAGTTCAAAATAGGTTTCATTAAGCTAAACCCAAACTGTCAGAAGAGCGGATTCCTTTTTTAATCCCCATTTTTGAAATTAACAAATAACATTGTCTAAATTTAAGATGTACAGTGTAATGATTTGATATATGTATATATTATGAAATAATTACCACAATTGGGCTAGTTAACACAGCCTTCACCTCACATGATTGCATGTGTGTGTTGTAAGAACATTCAAGATCTACTTTCTTAGCAAATTTCATCTATATATACAACACAGTCTTGTTAGCTGTAGTCACCATGCTATATATTAGATCCCCAGAACTTATTCATCTTATAATTAAAAGTTTGTACTTTGGCCAACATCTTCCCATTGATCCCACTCCCCAACCCCTGGTAACCACCATTCTACTCTTTGTTTCCATGAGTTCTCCACTTTTATAGGTTTCACATTTAAATGTGCTCATACAGGACTGGTCTGTATGACTTCCATCACAGACTTTTTTCACTTAACATAGTGCCCTCAAGAGTCATCCATGTTGTCACAAATGGCAGGATTTCCTTATTTTTTATGCCTGAATAATATTCCAATTTTATACATTTATACATTTTCTTCATCCCTTCATCCATTCATGGACACTTAAGTTGTTTCTTTATCTTGGCTATTATGAATACTGCAGTGAACATAGGGGTGAATATACTACTGTAAAACAGCAAATTTTTTTTCCCTTGGGTGTATACCCAGAATGAGACTGCTAGATTATATGGTAGTTCTCTTTTTAATTTTTTGCGGAACATCGATACTCTTTCCATAATGGCTATATGAACTGACACCTTCTTAAAACTGTAGGGGAGAATCCATTTCCTTGCCTTTTCCAGCTTCTAGAGGCAACTACATTCCTTGGCTCATGGTTCCTTCCTCCCTCTTCAAAATCAGCAGCATAGAATCTTCAAATCTCTGATTCTGAAAATCCTGCCTGTCTTTTTCACTTGTAAGGACTCTAGTAATTGCATCAGTTCTATCTGGATGTAACCCAGGATAACCTCCCCATCTCAAGATCCTAAATCACATTTGAGAAGTCCTTTTTCCTGTGTACAGTAACCTATTCATGGGTCCCAGGGGATAGCATGTGGACATTTTGGAGGAATTCGAATTCTGCCTACCACAAAGTCTAAGTTAAAACATCAAAAGCAGTTTAGAATTGACTTTGATTAAATCTTATGCATCAGTTTACCTTTGGGTTAAACAATATGAGATTAATTTATTAACTTGAAAATGAAAATAACATTTTTAAAGGAAAGCTTTTACACTAATCTATTATTTTCTGCTGAAAGGTCTTTAAGTTAAATGTTAAAATTGTTATAAAATTTCCATTTAATCATAGTTGGGTGACAGTAACAATAAGCTAATAGCTTTCTGCCAATAGCAATATTTTGATGAGCCCATTTTTTATTGATGCCATACTTTATATTATGGAAATCACTCTTGGCAACATCTTCTGCTCTTATTTATTTTTACTGGTTTTTTAATACAGAATGTTTTATTAAAAAAGGTTTCAAAGCTAAAGATGTTTCCCTTTGTATACATTTAAAATATATTTTTTTTAGCTAATAAAGATATATTTGAATTTCTCAAACTATTTCATCTATAGTTTTTCCTCTGTATAAAGTTTTTCTTGTATAAAATTGAAGGGATAATGAACACAACTGCTCTAAATATTAAGTGAGCTAATGAATGTAAAAACGGTAGCAGCTGCTTGCCCATATTAAGTAGGTCTTCCATCAATTTTTAGCTTAATAGAAAATATATAATATTTTTTTACCCATACTGAAACATTTCTATAACTACTACTAATGAATAATACTATAGATGGTGTTTCTCACCAAACTTACCAATTCAAGTATTTGGTTGATCTCCACAGAATTTAAGATGAGAATTCAATTCAAATAACTCAAATTAAAAATGGTGGTTTATATTCCAAATATCAGTTCAGTCAGGCTTTCATAGGTAGGGGTACACAAAATGATAACCTTAAGGTTTTTTTAATTCTATCTAAAGGTGCCAGTAAATTGTGAGGAAAATTTTGTGAGTTTCATATATTCAATATAGAATATTCAAAGTTAGAAATTAAGCTATTTGGGAGATCAAACCTAGAATATGGCAGCACTTTAAAAAATAAAAATCACAAAATAAAATTTTCTCAATGGTTATAATTTACCTTCAAGTTGCACTAGTTAAGATTTCCCCCTGTAATCCTATGTCCCTATGTCTTTAACTCCTTGTGATTAAATAATGTTGCTGTGCTTTCGCTATTTTCTTTCTGTGAAGTTGTCAAATGATCTCTGTCTTGTCCTGTGTAATTTAAGAGACTTTTATGTAACTCTCTGAGAGACTATCACACAAGTCCGACTAGAAGAATAATTTACGAGGTTCAAAATGAAGGGTCATTATTAATACTGTCTGAACTGCAATGAATATGTAGACTCTCTCGTTCATGCGTGGCAGGGTTTTAACTAGATCAAAAGAGGTATAAGGTTTTAAATGAGGTGTTATGAATGATATCATTGGTTACATACGTTTAATTAACATTTTTAAAAATATGATTGTTTAAGGAGATTAGAGAACATAAGAAAACATGGTGTTTGGTGTGGGCTTATATATTACTTTCCAATATTTCTTTGGCTGAAAACACAATTTCAGAAGTTGTGCTTTTATATGTCCTAAGGCTAACCTTTATTAGCCAACCGTAAGCTGGAATAACACGCATAGTAAGTGTTCGACAACAAAAGCTAAATGCAGAAGGACAGCAAAGAGTGGGGTTTTCTGAGTTTTGAAGAGAGGTTAATTTTTAAGTGCCTCTGCTTTACCGAAGTAGTCCTGACTTCTGTTCAGCAATCATTGATCCTAATGATGTTTATGTAGCTAGAAGAAAATAGTACTTTTTCTTACCATTTCAGTGTCCAGTGTCTCTTCTTAATTACAGCAGGCAAATCTAATTACTTCTTCTGATCAATCTCAATAGTTAAATAAATCCTTTCCGGGCAAAGTGCAATCTTAAATATTTCCACAAGAGCTTTTTTTATAATATAAGCACATGGTATAGGATACACCAAATAAGAAACGAGAATCACTTTTAGTAGATGGACAACTGTAATAGAAAAATGTTTTTATGTTTATTTATATATGCTCTATTATTTTAAAGAGCTGATAAATCTGAAGCCTTTTTACTAAAAAATCATCTCTTCCTCTCAATTTCCCCTAGCATATCCCCTGAACTTCCGTGTTTTTTTTTAATATGTATTTATTAGTGTACATGTTTATGTCCCCACATATACTTGGAGTGTTCCACATTACCCATAATACTTAGCTGTATGCCTTGAAAATAGATAGCTAACATCGAGCTCCTGCTATGTGCTGGATGCCATTCTAAAAGTTCTTGTGTATTAACTCCCTTAATTTTCAAAGGAGACGAAATAGGTACCACTATTATCTTCACTTTTTAGAGAAGGAAACTAACTCAGAACAGTTAAGCAATCTAGCCAGAGTCACACAGCCTGAAAGTGGCCATCCTGAATCAAAGCCTGGTTTCAGATCCACTGAACATAACCATTGCCCTGCGTCTGCAGACCCTGAGCAGGTAAATGTCCTACTTTTAGAGTGGGTGACTTTCAGAGCACCAAGTACTTCTTCCTCACCTTTATTACATTATATTTGTTTTCTCTGGTTATTCAATTGATGTCCGCCCCTCCCATTATACCCAGAACATATCGATAGAACCTCTAGTATTTAACAGATGAGTAATAGCAGCTAATATTTATTAAGCATTTACCATGTGCCAGGAAATGCATCTTATTTTAATCTTCAGGAAGTCTATGATACCTACCAATTTACCTCCACTTTAGAGATGAGGATACGGAGGCGGAGGAAAATTAGATGACTTGCCCAAGATCACAGAGCTAATAAATGATAGAGCCAGGATTTCAACTCCAAGGCCAAACTCCAGAGCTGTGCTCTGGATGAAGGAAGGAATGGATGAATGGAAATCTAGCTTGGAGGAAGGCATATTTGACATGTACAGAAGGGTGAAGTAGAAACAGAAACCACCATCCGGGCAGGGGAAACACGGGTAACATGATACAGAACAGTGTGTCTGGAGCGCTCAATAAATACAAGTTAACCAGTGAATACTTTTGTAGCCAATTGGTTAAAAGGCTTGTACATGAAATGTTTATTACTAATGCCTTCTACATCTTTTTTTCTTTCAGTGCCACCATGGGCCTTAATCGCCATAGCCATAGTTGCTGTCCTTTTAGTCCTGACCTGCTGCTTTTGTATCTGTAAGAAATGTTTGTTCAAAAAGAAAAACAAGAAGAAGGGAAAAGAGAAGGGAGGGAAGAATGCCATTAACATGAAAGATGTGAAAGACTTAGGGAAGACCATGAAAGATCAGGTAATGTCTTCATTCTGTATTACTTCTTTGATGATTTTATTAAAAGTTAATAAATGGCTTATTATTTTATACCAGATAAGTATAGAAGTAAACAACTTCTGGACAGATGTTACTGTTGTCAAAAATGCTTTGCAATCCTTTCATTCATTGCTCAACGTCCCAAAGTGCAATGAAAACATTTGGTAGGGTTTTCCAGGCTCCTAAGCATCTGACCCAGAAAAGGGCATCGACGACTGGCAGGGTCATCTTGACAGGCCCAGCAGACTGGAATGATGCCTGAGTATTTGGATTACATCTGTTCAGCCAGTTTTAATTGCATTTAGAGTTAGAGAAACAGAATCGAGAGTATCTGAATGCTTTCCCTCTTGGGCAGGGTGCCTTTCTCACATTACCACTGTTCATAATCACTGTTAAATCACTCAGACTTATGGCCGTTTATCACACTAGATGAAAATTACCATTCCTATAGATCCATCCACCTCAATAATAGGCGCTCAGGAAGAGTGAGTTAAACAGTGAGTTAAAAGGGAGAGAATTACGAGCTAGTCCTAAAGAACAGGGCATAATTTTAGGGCAAAATTCTTGTTTGGAAGAATTTTAGGGATAATGAAACCACAACACAGGTTATGGAACCCATCTGGCTGGGTTATCTTCCGGAGTCTCAGTAAGCTATTTGGATGTTCTTTACATCGTGGTCTATTTTTATTAAATTAACTGGATGATTTGGTTCAGAACAAAGTTTACTATTAATAGTTATAATTAAATGCCTCTTCAATATTTTTTAATCATTTTCATACTGGATATCTTTAAAGAATATTTAATTCATATTAACATAAAGGTAGAGCTTTTCCATAGAACGAACACTTTCAATTATCTTTGTTTCCTTTCAAATAATTCAAAAGTTTTATTTATTCCCAAATAGCAACATACATTGACAGTTTTTTTTTTATTTTTCTAAATGAATTAATTACTATTAATTGAACTCTTGACTAGGTGAATCTTCTTAAGAACAATTTAGTCAAGGAGGGCATTTTTAGCACATTTGCATAGTTTCCTAGTTAACCATCCACTCAGGGCACCAACTCCATTCCCCAGCTTGAGATTTAAACACCTTTTCTCAAAGATCCTGTAATGTCTGTTGACAACAATTTCACAAAGGCTCTTCTGCACTCACTCAACTTTTGTTTGGTTTCAAAGCTACAGAATGTATGCAGTGCCTGCCTCACACTCAGATTTGTCCTGAGCTCAGAACAACAAGGTTTACATTCTTCTGAGTTTCTAATCACAGCCACAGAATTTCGACCATAGGGTTCTTTTTTTTTTTTTTTTTAATTCTTATGTTCATAGGGTTCTAATAAGGCTTTTTCTCTTCTGTTAATTTGTTACATAAAAACTACAATTTGAAAACAGGTCTTGTTTATTGCAACATTTTCAATAACAAGTAGACCTTGACAGAGATTTCTTTAAACAGTTTATTGGGAGATTAGGTGTAAGAACAATGTGCTAGATGGACGGGGACTGAATAATTTGTATGTGAATTTCAGCTCTATCTAAGCAACCATTTGAGAACACAGCCCTATCATTTTCGTAACTATAATATAATGCAAATGTAATTTTCCCATATACAAGAATTAACAATTAAAAGCACTACATAATGTTAGATTATAACTACAGCATTTTTTTTCTAGCATAAGAAATTTGTTTTCTTCTTTGTGGAATTTGTTCTGTATGATGTAAGATTGTAATTTATAGTATAATAGTGGTGTTTATTACCCCTGTAATGACCTGGATAAATGACCAAGATCTCAAAATACTACATACAGAGAATTGATGGTGGTTAATTTTTCAATGATCATCTATTCCTTTGGATGAGAGAGGAAGAGAAAATAAGTCAAATAAGGAAATATTGGTAGGAAATCAGTGACAGTTTACAGTGATCTACTATTACAACAAAGTATTTAGGATTTCAACCACTCAAAAAGATCTCATCATTTTAAGTAAATTACTTGTCTATGTAGGATTTTATAGATCTTACTTTAATTTATGAACTATTAAATGTACAAAATGAAATGATTTGGACAAGCAAAAATAGGCCTTATCGGTAAACAGTTATATAACAGTAGCTTATGCTACTTTTTAAGGCACGCAATAGTAGCTAATAATGGGTTCTATTGTTTTATGAAGAGGAAGGATGAAGAAGCAAAATAGAATGTGCAGTTTTAAGAAGTACATCACATGGTGACCATTCAATCATCCAACTTCAGAACAGCCTAAGTTTTGAAATTCAGTAAAATTCTTAACTAATTACATTTTCAGAATATTTTAAACAGCGTATTGATGGGAACGTGAGGAAAACAAATGTAGTCAATGGCTCTCATTGAAAAACACAACAGATGTGAGAGGCATTTTAGACATGATTTCTTAAGATACATAGGCTCTAGGCAACCAGGAAGTTTTCACCATTTCAATGTATGTAAGAATGGACAGAAATTCAAATTCCAATGTTCATGGCTAACTGTCTCTATGTTAAAATTTTATAATCAACAGACTTCTAAAACTCCATAATGACAACAAACTCACTAGTAACAGTGTATTTATATAACATAAGATTTATATATAAAGGTTTTGTGTCTGTTTTTAATTCCTGGAAGCTTGAGAACACTGAAAATGCAGAGGGACGGTATCAAGTTGCAAAGTGATGGGTCTGGAAAGGTCATTTCTCCATGGGTTTTGCTCATGTGTGTGGATCTTTTAATTTTTATTTCTTCCTTCTATGTCCTCCTTATCTGTGTTATGTCTCATGACTGTTCTGGAACCCCCCCTTGCGGTAGGTCTCCTCTGCTCTTTAGAAACCCCTCGTCAACGCTCCAATACATTTAGTGGCCTGGCAGCTGGGGTTCCACAGCTCAGGGTGTACCATTCTGACACACATCAAGAGGCTGAACTAAATTGATTTTTTAAATAAATAAATAAAAGAAATCTGTAATAAAAAATAAAATAAATTGATTTTTTTTAAGATAAAGGGTTCTCATTTTAAACATTACTAACTGATTAAATAGAACAGTATTAGAAAGCTCAAGTTTTTAAATTGATGGGCACAGAAAGAAAATTCAGTCCCTTGTGCTACCTTTTGTAAGTGTGCCTTATCAAATCCAAACCTGAACAATTTCTCTTAGAAGAGCTTCTCCTTCGGATGGTTGTAAAATGACGCGCCTTTTGAATGTCGAAGCAAGCCAGAAGCATGTACACTAAATCTTTGAAATTTAAAACAAGATCTGATGTTCCCAGCACATAGCTTTCGCGACTGCAATTTAGCAAATCATCAAAACTGCTGGGTTTACAAGCATTTTCCTCCGCATTTTGTTGAGGGGCAGTGGGGGTGGGTAGAGGGGTGCTGCTCTTGAGATATTATAATAGCTACTGATTTCATAGGTCTGAATTTAATGTGATGGTACAGAAGACATCCTGCTTAAGCTCAGGCTTCAGGACAAGAACAGACTTAATCACTTCGGTGATGAACAGTGGCACTGAGAAATTATCGAAAATGTAGCCCTATTTCACACAGAGTAATTGCAGAGGTGGTCCTGCACCTTTTATTAGGGCAAAACCCACTTAGGAAGAAGGAGATTTATATCTCAGCTATTTCAAATTGCACTGGGCTGAAACATGATATGTAAATTATCAGTTCTGAAAGAGACTTTTAAAAAAGTATTTTAATCCATGAATTTTTTTTATAATTATGATAGAGTAACGTGTAGATTTTTCGACAGAAATACGTACTAAGTAGCTTGCTATTATTTTTAAAAACTTAAAATCTTATAGGGAGACAATTTAACTAAGCTGCAATTTTCTAAGAACATCTATGGGAGTGGTAAAGACTAACAGACAGCTAAGGTTTTGAAAGGGCAATGTGATTTCACTGCCTCAGCTCCTCTAATTAAACTCAGTTGTCTTTTCCGGTCACTTTACTAGCATGTTCCCTATAATGACCTATCCCCCGCCCAAGTTAAAAGATTAAATTTTTAAGTAATTAAATTGTTTCCTGCCTTTGGCTATCAGGAAACCAACATTTTACTACTCAGGAAAACATTTCGTATCCCAACTTTCCTACACAGATGTAATAATGGTAATTTTTAATTTTCCAAATTCATTGTAGGCTCCTGAAATATTTCAAGAAGCACAGAAAGGGAGGCACCTCCAACTACAGCTCAACTCTGTTCATATGCTCTTCCCACCCAAATGAGTTCTATTGATACAATGCCACCAAGTCTCGGGGTTTTTTTAGGATCAAACTGGAGTTAGCAGAGTAGAGCCAAATGGGAAAAGCTTGTCCATTTCAGTGCCATTTTGAAACACCACAGAGAGTCTCTGTGTAAATGCACGAGTGAACAGTAAAGCTTTCTCTCAGCAGAGAAGACAGACCACACACTCTGGAAGGTGGGAAGAGGCTGGGTGATGGAGCTGTAGTCTGGTGCCTCTTGCGTTTCTGAAATCTGGTTATACTTCTGCATTTGACTACAAGAATTCTCAGATTTAACCTGCTGACAAGAGTTAAAATTCCTTTACTTTGTCACAGATACAAAGCAGTCTCCCACTCTGCCTTATCTTGACTTCTGTGAGATTCTACAGTCCAGTCACACACACACACACACACACACACACACACACACAAAGGCAATGAAAATGCCATAACCAAAAACTAGGGAAGAAGATTTGCAATATACATAACAGAAAAGTTGAGACCACTAAAACACAAAGAGTCTCTAGAAATCAGTAAGAGCCAAACAAAACAATAGAACACTTAGCAAAGGATATACACCAGCAGTTCCCAGACAAATAAATACAGTTGGTTACCATAAAGATTTTCAAATTTTCCCATCTCACTAGCAATCAGGGAAATGTAATTTTATCATTTTTAATTTTGAATAACTACATATAGCTTTTAAAATTATTTTTCCTAATTCTCTAAAGCAATAACAATGCATATGCCTAGAAACAAAGCTTACCTAATATTTATAATCTTTATAACCTTTGATTTTCTTTCAGCAAAGTTGTTGCACTTCATGGGAAAATACATTATCTATTTTTATTTTCGAAAGAGAGGAGCATTTGAATGTATTTTGTGGGATGATGAGCTTTCTAGTATTTCATTTTACATTACACTTAAGTTTTAGATTATAAAGACTATTCAGTTGGTCCAAACAGAGTTCAGAACCACGATTTTTGTTCACTGATGCAAAATAAACGTTAATGCTGATTTCAGTTTGACAAAACTGCAAACGTAACTGCTTTTATTTTTTTTTAATCTCAAATAGATCCATAAATCAATTTAATTCAGCCTAGCTTTCTGTGGAGCTGTTACAAAAATAAAATGTTAAATTTCAACTGGAAGTGGGGTAGATTTTCCTCTAAACATGCATTTGCTGGTGGCATGTTTTTTCCACTTTTTCCATAACCATTATAAATGTATATGTGAAACATAGGAAATTAAAATTCTTTGAGAATCACTTATTCAGCTATCTTTCTTATAGGAAACAAGGCAAGAAAAGGCCACTCATTTCATATAAGTTCTCCACTGCATGTAACAATGATGTTTTACATGATGCTGAGCTTAGATCTCTTTAAACTACATGAATGTGAAACCTGGCCTGGTTAATAGCATGTTTGTCATACTTCTGAAAGAAGCAGTTTTACCAAAGCCAAACGTGAATCCAAGTCGACATTTTGTCTGCAACAACTTTACATTTTTCGCTTGCAATATTCTGAGGGGCTTTTCCATCGCTTTCATGTTGCTTGCTGATTGGGGAAGAAAATTCCGTGCACAAGTGGAATTTTAAAAATATATAAGCAGCAAATGTGAATGTGTGTCAGACAAATGAATTTCCAGCATCTTAGTGCTTGCTTCTAACAGCTTGGAAGTATAACCACAGGTCCAGGTTGATATGGGTTTCAACGAATTCACCTGAATTCTCATATACTTCATTTCCCTACTCCTAGGCTCTAAAGGACGATGACGCTGAAACAGGATTGACTGATGGGGAAGAAAAAGAAGAACCCAAAGAAGAGGAGAAACTGGGGAAACTTCAATATTCACTGGATTATGATTTCCAGAATAACCAGGTCTGAGAGGGGTGGGAAATGACTTCTAATTCCATTACGTTTTCTGAAATTACCAAGTAGAAATTGAAGCAAAATACTTCTTAAAACATTTCGTTTGCTGAGAAGGGAAAATGCAATTATCAAAGCTATTGATGAAATCATTTCTAAGTACAGGCAGTCCCCTACTTGCTAATTTAACTTCTGGTAATTAGAATTCACAGTATTCAAGCGATTACATCTACTTATGGCACTTACTGCAGGCAGGCAGAATACAAATGAACTTGCAGATAGTCGTTCTGATTCTGACAGCTCCCAGCCACAGTCTCACTCCTACCCGCCCATCAGCCTGAGCTACAACAATATCCCTTGGAATTCATGGAATTCGATCCCAACAGGGCAAGGAACTGCTGAGGTAAACCACCATTCAACCAAAGCTTTAAAACAAAATCTAACTGTTTGATAAGGAATCAAAGACGAAAAACTGACTGCCTTCCATGAATTTCAAAGGCAGAAATGCCTTCTGTAATATCATGATACTAGGTAAAATTCCTAGCACCAGTGAGTTAACCGTTCTAGGAAAGGAGAAAGACCAGCAACTTGATTTCTAGTGCCTGTGACTACTGCCCAACAGGTGTTAAGGAACTGAAGGCAGTGACAAAACAATCACTCCTGCTTCAACTTCTCAAAAAGCTGTGAAGTGCCACCTAGATGGATGATAATATTAGCTACCTTTTATTAACCGCATTAAAGGTAGCTCAAAGAAAAATGTTAAAAAATCTCTACATTAAAAAAAAAAAAAAAACCCTTTTAGGACCCACGAAATTGACCATGTCCCTTTACCTTCTGACTTGTTAAATGAAAACGCTAGGTAAGAATTAGTGGAGGGGTGCCTGGGTGGCTCATTCAGTTGAGTGTCTGACTCTTGATTTTGGCTCAGGTCACGTTCTCAGAGTCCTGGGATCTGCCAGCATGGGGCTCAGTGCTCCACGGCGGGAGTCTGCTTGAGGATTCTCTCTCTCCTGCCTCTCTGCCCCTCCCCCCCACCCACGCTCATGTGCACGCTGTCTCTCTCTTTCTCGCTCTCTCTCAAATAGATAAAAACTTTAAATAAATTTTAAAAAAAAAGAATTAGTAGAATCAGCTGAATAAGAGATCGAGCTCTTAAGAATCTTTAGGACAATGTCCTTGTCTGACAAAGGGAATTTTAACTCTGTTTTGCTTCACTTATCTTTTTGGATGAGGAAGAAGTGATACTTGTTAATACATTTACTACTAATGCAGCTTGTGTTATTTCATTGATGTTGAAATAACGATGTTGATGAGAAATGAACAATACATTAAAAAAAAAAAAAAAAAAAACCACCAATCCTCAGCTCTGACAACCAAAGTCCAAAGTCAGTAAGACTGGGAGAGTTCTATGTAGTTGCAAGAATTCTGGGTGGTATTTAGAAATCAACAATTTAAATAATGTCTTAACTTTCTGAATTTCTAGACGGTTCCTCATGAAAAATGTATTGATATGCTCTATCATACTAAAAAAATTTATTTGATCAGCTTCATTACAGCCCTGGCTAGTTATTTCATAACACATTCTAGAAAGCTGCATTTTGGTTACAGATACAAGTTTATAGGTATGGATTTATACACATTTATAAATATACCACTTATAGTTAATTAAATAGGACATTTGAGATCATTTCTATCCCAGCTACCAAAATTTGACAATCAGGAGTTGATCAAGAGCAAAACTTCCTAATATTTACATATTCTGATGAAAATGAAGGTCAACACTAACATGTAACATTTTTTCCAGAAACTTAACGTGACTTTATATATGTATCCAGTATTTTTTTTACTACTTTATTCTACTTTCATATTATCCAGTAGAAGTCTAGTGGTATCTCATCCTCGTTAGTCATAATTTTGAAACTTCTAAGTTAACTGGAGTATTTTAAGTATTATTTATAAAGCATCTTTAAGAAAATTGCACAGGATTTTTTTTTTACTCAAATATAATGAGTGCTTTTATTGTTCCCCTTCTAGCAAACATCAAATTTTTACAAAGGTATTTTATTCTGAGGATCTAGAAGATTCTACCTGATGAAATATTTTTTAATTAGTATGCATCAATTTTTTCCAAGTGTTTTCAGCTAATCTGATTTACAAAATGGTTCCTATGAGTCATGAAAAGATAAAGTCTGAGGAATTTTATTTATTAAGCTGTAATCAAATATACATGTTTGCTTACCAAAACTAAAAGTCAACCCTAAAATGCTCTAAATGAGAAGCTTTCATGGCAGAGGGAAATGTGATACTTGTCTCTCTAGCAGAAGGGGAGGAGGGGGGGGTTAGAAGTAATTCCACCCCTTATTAACAAAATATCCAAAAATCTTTAAACTATAAGTTATCTAGGTTTAAGGAGTTTAGGTTATAGCACTAGTGCATTCCCTGCCCAAAAGAACACTCATTTCAAAAAGTGAGAAGGAGGGGCGCCTGGGTGGCTCAGTCGTTAAGCGTCTGCCTTCGGCTCAGGTCAGGATCCCAGGGTCCTGGGATCGAGCCCTGCATCGGGCTCCCCGCTCCCAGCGGGAAGCCTGCTTCTCCCTCTCCCACTCCCCCTGCTTGTGTTCCCTCTCTCGCTGTGTCTCTCTCTTCAAATAAATAAATAAAATCTTAAAAAAAAAAGTGAGAAGGAGAAAATAGAAACTTGCTTATTCACATTGCTATCCACAGGCAAATTCCAAATACCAGTGGCAAAGCAAGAAACAAACTGTTTGCTTTACTACTCATGTCTTTATAATCTGATGTCTATTTTAGCTATTCTTTGACCATCCGTATTTTATATACCTACAATCCAGCACTCTTATTCCTACTGTTGTTATGATGATGTCACTAACATATTGAGCATTAAAATGGAAACAACAGTCATTCAGAGTATTGGTCCTGGTTAAAAATTGAGCCAACTAGCCAAAGCGCTCTTACAAACATGGTAGGTCAGTTTTACAAAAAATGAATGTGATTTTTTTTTTTTTTTTTTTTTTTTTAAAGAAAGTGAATTGCATTTCCACTCTATTTGGCTAAAAAGGCACAGGCTCAAATTTTTAGGCCTGATGTGAAAAGCTATAATGTAACCACATTTACTGACAAGTATGTCTTGAATAACCTTGAGTAAGAGTCTACTTTTGTTTCCCATGGGAATATAAGCCAGTCTGTTGATACAAAATATCTGATGATAGAGCATCTGGAAGAGTCCACTCACACCTTTTATTTTCTTACCAAAAACAACAATGCCAGCCTACACTCACATTCATAAGTAAGACAGGAATGTATCACTGAGAAAACAGACATGGAGAAATCTCTGCATTTGAAAAAGAAAAATCAGAAACTTAGTCACTTAGCATTAAAAACCCTATCTGTAATTTTACATTCATTTATGTGAAACCGAAATTATACTTCTTTGACTCCATGTCCTAGATTTAATTTCAGAATAAATAATAACTTTACTGTAAGTTAAAATAAAAAGTAGGCAGCATACAAATAAAGGTCAAATATGATAGAAACTTGCTCATCTTATTATTATCACAAAATATTACCCAATTTCTAAGAAATTTCTATTTTGCTGGTTTGAAGCTTTGAGTTCAGAATAAAAATTTCCTACTTTATAATCACAGACTTGTTATTGTTTAACAATTTATTTCCACTTACAAATCACGCCCTGGAAAGAAAAATAATGCACAAGGGCTTTTAGCAACTGGAAAGTTATTTGATTGCAACCCTTTTGCAAATATGACTTCCATATTTAACTGTAATCAGCAACCTTTTAAAAAGCCTCTTTTGTGCTGAAAACCAGGCTTCCTAGAGCCTGCATCTGTCATAATTAGGTTTCTGAAGTCTATATGGCTTGCTTCATTTGCCTTCTGTGTTTGGATTGATAAGAGAAATAGTTTATTAAAAGCAAAGAGGGAGAGAGAGAGATCACAATATGCAACATCGCGAACAAGTCAATCTTTTCCAAAATGTCCACCAATGCTTATGTTTGCTGTATTCTGTCTCTCATTTCAGCTGCTGGTAGGGATTATCCAGGCTGCTGAGCTGCCCGCCTTAGACATGGGGGGCACATCGGATCCCTATGTGAAAGTGTTTCTGCTACCTGACAAAAAGAAGAAATTTGAGACAAAAGTCCACCGAAAGACCCTTAATCCTGTCTTCAATGAGCAATTTACTTTCAAGGTATTTTTTTTTTTTTTTTGGTACTTACTAATAACTTTCCCTCTGTAGTTTTCAAGACCGATCTCATCCTGACACATACATAGACGTGCACATGGCCCCTTGTTCAGAGGCTCACAGATGAGTTTGTTCAGAATATTCAAAATTCTTAACTTCAGTCCAGTGAGGATTCAGTACTGCATTTAGATGTGGTCAAAGTGGGATTCGGCTCAGCCATTTCAGAATAGAATATAGCCTGGAAGATGACGGAACTGTCATTTCACATCTAAAAAGGAAGGTTAGACTTGAACGTGTCCCCCTCTCTAAAATAAAGCCCAAGGAAGAATGAAATTATTCTTTTTCTAAGTCTCGAAGTTCCTGAAAATAAACCACAATCTCAGAACTGAGTAAGCTGTGTTCCACTGTTTAAATGGTACAAATTGTTTTTATTCTCATTGCAAAATTCTGTGTATACAGGGGCAATCCGAGCACACAGAAACCATTCTTAACCTATCAATAAAAAAGGATAGGAACCCCTTGTTTTTGCACATTTCTAGCATTTTCCCTCAACTGTCATCTTTTCCCTAGTGTTCTTCATCTTGTTGAGACACCTCAGTTGACAATCACCAAGAGAGATTCTGGCCATAAGATAATAACTGGACAGGAAAACGTGCTCTGCGGGCCTCAGGCATCTCTGCATACACAAGTTCTGTAGCTCTTGTCTTGAAGTCATGCATAAAAACAGTGCTTTGGTAGCTATCTTTAATATATGAAAAGAAAATTTTAATTCATTACTTAAAATAATACATTTCTGAAAAATGAAAGGTCTGTAAATACGCCAGTAGGCAGATTCAGAATCCCTCCTCTATCAGCCAGCCTTCGCGAAAGCATGTGCCTCATGTAGGCAAATACTAGGTATGAAATAAATGGATGAAACCAAGGGCATGAGTCATTTTCTCAAGCCCTGTTTCCAATTTCGTAAAAGAGCAGTGTCTTTCTCTTCACTCTGAAATTTGAGGTTTTAAGACAAAAAAAAATCCCCAATGTCTTGTCAGTAATCTTTTCTAAAAAACTACACTTTTCTATACCCAGAGAGTTCATTTAGAGTAGCAATAAAAACATTCTGAAACTACTCCGCTTACAAAGAACTAATCACTACAGCCAAAACACCACAAAACAAAATGAAAATAAAACTAATAAAATATTGCAAATGGTAATCACAGTCATACTATTTGACTGTGTTTTAACCTCAATTTAGGTCAGCGTTTTCTAACCATGATTTAGTAAGCAGATTCTTAAATTTGTTGATTTACTAAAGGGGGCTTTCTGTTTTGAGTTATTCATATGTTAATTTTAAAAAATGTATTCCTAAAATCTGATGAAGAATTTCTGTGGCCTCATGAAGTTTAATTATTGAAATTTTTAAATTGCCTATAAAATTTTATCAGGTTCCATTTTATTTCAAGAATGTTGATCAAACCATAAATCAACCCAAAGTATAATATATTTTGATACACTTAAGAACCATGCTGCTGTTTCCAGAGAATTAGTTAATTTCGCCAGTAGACAGTGTAGATTACGCGTCTTGAAATGCCAATAGGCAAGATGATAGAACAGAAGCACAACAGTTTAAAGAGGACAAGCTTTAAAACCGAGTTCAAATCCACTTGACATGAACTTGACATCCCCAACCTAAGTGTTGCTTTTCCTCAAAACAAATTCCCACCTGAAGGAGCTACTAATCATTCAAATACCAAAGAAGTGCCTACTGTGTCAGCACTCTGCTAAATGCCTCAAACAGCCCTGGGAAGTGGGCCCTACTATTAACACTATTTGATAGATGAAAAGTGTGTAGTTGGTTCACTTGCCCCAAGCCCTTCAGCCGGGAAGTGGGAAAACCCAGGCCCGGGCCTGCCAAACCCCAAGCCCAGGTTTTCTGACTAATGTTATTTCAATAGAATCACCAAAAAAAAAAAAAAAAAAAAAAATCCAGAGTAATTTCAGAAATAAGATGAAATTTCTCAGAGTTTATCCCTACTCTAAAATTCATCTCTTCCTTTGAAACTCAGTTTTGAGAAGGGTTTATTTTTTTCTTCTAAAATGGAAAAGGTATTGTTCCTCCTTTTTAATCAAAGTATTTTAATCAGATTCCCAATAGATGACAAGTGACAAAAAAACTTTTGAAAAACTAGAATTTCTTATACAGTTATAGTCAAATATGCTTCCTTCCCCCTCAATATATAGAGTTCACTGAGAAATGTTTGAGGAAGCAAAGACAACCATTTGCACCGATAAATAAAAATTGATCAAAACTTCAATACAGGTCTAAACAATTTCTTAATTAGGCATTTCTACCCAATTACTGAAGCATAGCTTACTTAGATCGCACTACTTTCCCTGAATATTAAAAATGTCACTAATAAAAATCCCAACCCATAGCATCTGTCCCAGATCTATCTGAACAGCTGGAGAATTCATCAGTTCTGGGCCTTTTGCCACAACTCATCCTAAAAAGTGTCATACCTAAGAATGAACTTCAAGATCTATATTATAATGCATCTCTGATATTTAAAACATCAATTTTATAGTCAGTTCCTGTCAATCAGTAAATTATTTTAGGGAGTAGGTGAGGCAACTTGTGAATTTCATTTCAATCCTTTCTGACTCCTAGCATATCTTTTTATAAATCACTGCTCCATTCAACTGTGCCATCCAAATGGCTTGAAAGAGTTAATAGAACTTTTGAAACAAGTTTTCTACCCCAAATAAGCTGAAAATATAACTGATTAACAATAGCAAAATATTCTACAAGTAAAACTTACACAATCAAGTGCAATTCGCTTGGTTTATTCTTCTAACAAACAAATTCCCACCTGATCATTCTAATCATTCAAATGATAAATATTTAAGTGCCTGTGTGCCAACACTGTTAAATCTTAAAGTGTTTATAGCATGACTAATAGTAAGCCTCATTATCAGTAATACTAATTGCTTCTAAAACTTTAGGATAAAGTGATAAGATGACTATGGTTAAGTCTCTATTTTCTCCCAATGTGAGCCCCAAGCAGTTATTCAAATGATTCCATTTTTTTTAAAAGCACGATTATCCTCATTTTGTTTCTGCAGCTAAATATTGAAATTAAACACTATAACCAAGTCATCCATTTTAAGCATTTTTGTGACCAGATTTTTATCCTCATCTCTTTATTTAGGTGCCGTACTCAGAATTGGGTGGCAAGACCCTGGTGATGGCCGTGTATGATTTTGATCGTTTCTCCAAGCATGACATCATCGGGGAATTTAAAGTCCCCATGAACACAGTGGATTTCGGCCATGTAACTGAGGAGTGGCGTGATCTGCAAAGTGCTGAGAAGGAAGAGGTAAGGAAAACATTAGCATCTCTAATATGACAAGCTGTACTCACCACTTCCTCCTCACATAAGAACCTATTGAGAGACGCTCTCTACACAGGATGATGTGGGCCTCCAGCTGCTGACAGCTGGGAAGATAGGGTTAAGGGATTGATTGCATCACCCCATTAAAAAGGATACAGGTCTTCTGGGCTTATTTGAAAGAAAAGAGAAAGATCTGTGCCCACCGTTGTCTATAATTTCCGGGACACACACACACACACACACACACACACACGCCCACTATCTGCTTCTAAAAAGCTTACAAAATGCCAGACACGCACACATCTACTTCTTTAAAGTGAAAAATCATCTTATTCTTTGTATCTTTCCACAATCATTTCGTGTTTTCTACATAGGTTATGTAGCTATTAAACAGAAATAAAATAGCACTTTTCCCTTGATTATGTCTGCATATCACAGACCGTTCATTATTTCCCCTACAGATATCAGAGCATGATGGGTGGAACATCAAATATAATTCACAAAGGCTGATATTAAATCCATTTTTTAAATGACTCACATTTTTATAGTACTCTTCACGTTGTTTTTTCCCCAGTTTTCATAGTTCAGCCCAGGATTTTTCTGTGATTTAAAAAGGGAAGTTCAATATCTTTAGTGCATTTAAACTAGGTAATAATCAATTCGATTTGATTATGCTAGGCCTGCCTAGCGTTTTTTTGTGCAAATGTCTCAATAGGCCAATATCAGAAAGGCAAACAACTCTAGCTTCCCTGAATTCCTAAAGCAGCTCTTTTTTTCCAGCCATTTTTGGGGTCCTGACAATCTCTTGGGTGATTATAAGCCCAAGAGATTGTCAACAGCCTCCTTCAGTGAGGATCCAAAGAACAGTGTCAAGTGTGATCACGTCAGGGCCACCAGGGAGATCAAAGAGAAGCCCAAGCCCTCAGAGAAATTCAACCAAGCCCATCACCTGGGAGTCCTCTCAACCTAAGATGTTCTGTGACCAATGTAACTAAATGAGGTTTTAGAACAGGTTTGTTGATTGCTGTATGAAATCGAATCTTATTAGTCCTCCAAAATTATTATGTAGTTGTAAAAAAGGAATAAAAGGTTTCTGAGTTGAGCTCTGCTTTCCTTTGGGAAAGAAAGATATATAACTTAACCAAATATGTTAGTCGAAATTAGATTCGTGGATACTGAAATCAATTTAGCCCCACTGTGGATATCATTCAAAACCCACCCAAGGATAATATTGAGTTGGTAAATTTTGTTATTTTTATAAGTAATTCTTCTCTTTGAGTGAACTAGTATCAATATTAAATCCAAGATCTGTTTGAAAAGAATCACTTGATCATAACGTTTCTATTGAAGAAAGTAATGAGCTATTTCATTGAATTATTTTATTTGACTGAAATATTTTACTTTGTATGTTCCTTGCAGTTGGGGTGCAAAGTGGGACTGTAACAAATATTCATTAATGGCAAGGTTCTTATTAGTTGACTGGTTAATGGTTAGCTTGTTGGTTGAGAATCAAAATATGACCCACTCATGCTTCACAATGGCTACCTGTCCAGAGTTCATACTCCCCACCTTCACCTGATAACTATCAAGTGGTATGGTATTCCAAGATCACACTTACTGGGTTTCTGAAAAGTTGGCAAATATTTTTGCCTGAATTAAGAAAATGTTTCAGAAAAAAAAAGAAAGAAAAGAAAGAAAAAACGAAAGAAAGAAAGAAAGAAAATGTAAAAGCCATCAAGCAGTTTTCCTCTTTCAAAAATTCTTTGAATACAGGCAGAGTTTGAGACTTGACAGTAAGCTGACAGGCTTGACTCTAGAATCTAAAAGAGTAGATAGACTGCCCAAAAAGAATCACATTTTTCTTCTCACTCTCTTACTTGCCCTCCTTCTCTCTCTTCTATTTCTTTCTTTCTTCTTCCATGTCTTCTCTCCCTATCTAAGAAAAAATATGTGGCTATTTACTGTATATTGCTACATTTCCGGAACTGTGTAGGTACTAAACAAAGTGAAACAGGTAGACACTGCTCCTGCTTTCATGGTATATGGTGTGGTCTCCTTTTCCTTCCTCACGCCAACCTTTGCTTTGCTTATTGTCAGTGACCCTGGTTTCTGGAAATAGTCCTGTCTGGAAGATCAAACACTCCTCGGTTTCAATTCTGACGAATCCATTTACCAGCTCAGAGAACTTGGACATGTCACTTAAGCTCTCTAAAATTCAGTCTGTTGATCTAGAAAGTGGTTTACCATTATCTACCCCTTGTCTTGCAGATTAAGTAGGATAGAGTATAAAGTGCCCAGTGTAGAGCCTGGTATGTGTAAGTGTCCAATAAGCAAGAGATCTCCCATTCTTTCTTCTTGGCCAATCTTTCTTGTGTTCTTTCACTTTGTTTTTACCTCCCTATTCATTCTGGCCTTTTCCCTTTATCCAAATCTACTTCGCTCTTTTTCTCACCACCATTGTATTTACTGAATGTCTCTGCAAGTTTTTAATGGTAAATAATTCTACAACTACATTTTTAAACTCTTGAGCCTTTCCTCTTTGATATCAACTTAGGAATAGTAATTTTTGGTTTGAAGTTGAGTGACTATTTCCTTTTATCATGATATAGGAAGCCTCATAAAACAGATGTCTAGTTTATGAACTATCTCTACATGACTAGAACCAGATATAAAGTTCTTCATAATAAATGAAGATTCCAATCACGTTCTTGTACCTGAATAAGTACTTATTCTCACTGATATGTGCTCTATTTTTTTTCATGCTACTGTCCATTAACCACAGAAAATTATAGCTGTGTGAATAAATTGTAGTCTCAGATTGACTTTGGTTCTCACAATTTTAAAGATATTGTTTTTTCCATTTTACATCAACATTCTGTTCATGATGTTCATTTTCTTTTATCTAACAGTATTAAGTGTTGTTTTAAATATAATGAGTGAGGGGCGCCTGAGTGGCTCAATTGTTTAAGTGACTGCCTTCGGCTCAGGTCATGATCCTGGAGTCCCGGGATCGAGTCCCACATCGGGCTCCCTGCCCAGTGGGGAGTCTGCTTCTCCCTCTGACCCTCCCCCTCTCATGTGCTATCTCTCTCTCTCTCTCTCTCTCTCTCTCTCTCATTCTCTTTCAAATAAATAAATAAAATCTTTTAAAAAAGAAAGATAATGAGTGAAATGGGGAAGGAATTCAAGAAACAGCTTTGGAATCTAGAAACTGAACCATTCATCACAGTAGTCTGGTTCAGGTTGACACTTGGATTTAAGCAGGTTAAATCCAACCCACTGAGATCCAACCCTGTGATTTTGGCTTTGTTGCCAGAAAGTAAAAAATTATAAAAGTCGTAAGATGATGAAGCAACTATGTAAGTTAAAAAATTGTTATTTTAGTGATCAACTAAATGTGCAAGCAATTTAGGGGGAAAAAATGGAAGTAGCCTTATCTGGAAGTTACCAAGCACATGTTGAAAATGTAAAGGTGTTTGAAAGAGATAAGCTATGCCAGGAAGAGCCCTAACAAGCACACGGCTCCCACTGTTAGATTCCAGCCCCTAGGAAAAGCATCTCTGACCAGGTTTCTATTCTGACTTGATAAATTTCTATGACACAGTCAAAGCCACCTTACTGGTTTGGGTTCACTCAAGTTCTATCTCCTTCCACCTCCCAACAGATGAAGATGGAATTTGACTTTACGGACCACTAGACCTTTTTCTTCCTTTTGTGCTTCTTTAAAACAGAAATGTACATCCTCTGAGTGGAGAGACAGTAACATAAAGCTTTTCCTTATTTTCCATTTTTTAGTATAGGGCCTCAAAAATCATCCTTTTACAAAAGGTTTTTAATCACCCATTTGCAAAAGATTTCTACTGTGTATAACCTCAGGCTATGTTTTTGAGATTTTCTTTTTAATCATTCAAAAAATATTGATGCCGCCCACAGGTCAACCCTGAACCCAGCCTTCCTACTTTTACAATAGTCCATTAAAGTGATACATCTACTTAATTACTTCAAATGTTACAATCAATGGCTATAATTCCATTTTTCTTTTTAAATTTTATTTATGATTTTAGAAATTGTCACAGTTCTGCACCCCAGCATCAGATATATTTTTAAAGCACTTAGATCCTTATTTTTTTAGCATTTTATCCCTAATTTTTTAAATGTATTTTTAGGATTTTGTCCCTTATTTATGTATTTTTAACCTCTACTACTACTTATCTCTAAAGACAGCATAAGAAATAGATACTACCAGAAAACAACTGAGCTTTTTTTTATTTTTGAGCATATCTGTCTTATGACTTTACCAGTGCTGGGGTTTTTTTTCCCTCCATTGGAGAATAAGTCTATCACCTCTGGTTTGTGTAGAATTCGTTAAAGAGTAATTTTTAAATGAGATTCTGTAATCCAGTGCAAATGGAAAAAAAATTGATTGCTGAATTAAAGCTAGTTGGGACATAATTTAATTAGTATCCAAGCAGAAGGGAAGAGAAACTACTTTAGTGTCTTAATAGAAAATCAATTTTGCAACAAAATTTCACATTTTTAAGCCTAATTAGAAAAACATTTACTTCACAGAAAAGCATTTGGACAATACATATTCAGTCAAATGGCAAAAGTTATTCAGCCTCCAATGGTCAATTACTTGATATTTCTTTGGAATGGGTTAAAGTCATTATTCCTTGTGACATCTTTCATTTCCAAAGATCATAGAAGAACTGATGTTATTTCTAAGTATACTTAGCAGTCAGAGGATAACTCATACCCTCTGAGAATCTCTGCACAACAAATCAATGCCCTGAATGGAAATCCTCACAAAAGGTTAACTGGTGGAATTTTAAACATGGATGCCAAAAATAACCTTCCTTGTCATTCACAAGCTATCACATTAGAGAAATCCAACAAAGACACTTATTTTGATCCATAACATTACAGAAAGTTATATTTATTTGTATTTGTTTCCTTGTTCATTGCCTATCTTCCCCCCCAAGACT